CGAAAACTACAATGAGCCTCAGCTAAGATTATTTATTAAATCTGATACATTCAGAGAGCACGTACTAACCAACTGTGAATTGACTGGATTAGATGCCATCTCCCGGTGTAGATCAGCAGACTCAAAATATCATTTCGCTCTCCCAGACGCAAAGTATCCAGCCCCACAAGTATATATATGCAAGTCGTGCGCCTAGTGCTCTTTGTGTTACTGATAGCTTTGGCATCACACCCTTCATTCGGAGATGAGGCATTTCGATCACAGCAGACTCCGCAACAAGCCCGAAGCCTTCGCCACTAGGAGGCACGGCCTCGCTAAGTGTCTCAGGTCGCCCACCGAAGCCTAGCTACCAGCCCACGATCATGAAACGCTTCAGAGGCGGTAGAACCAAGAGCGACGATGAAAATAGAGGTCCGATGAACAATGCCGACGCCATCGCTGAACATGTCATGAAAAGTATGCTGGATACTGGGTTTTGGCACATGTTACGCAATGGCGAAACACCCGCGATGCGCCCATTGGTTTCCTCACAATTTTGTTTTTCATTGGCCTAAACGAGCTACGAGTAGGTATCAAGCGGCGACACAAGAATAATCTGTGATACTTATTGTGGTTTTGGCTAAACGAGATGAGATTTATACGTCGCAGGTGGTGGATTTACAATACCGTATTCCTTCTGTGATTAGCGACAGCCAAATTCTTGAAGTGAATGCTGCCTATCGCTAAACAAAAAACATTCCCACCGTAAATTGATCAGATTTAATCTTGCACTTTGTAAGCTGTCCCCGTACGATCCCGCTCGTTGCGCATCCGAGTCACGGGTCGTGTTGATTGCTAATCACGTGTGCGCCGCATCTCCTACCGCATCGCCCCTTTCCTAAGCGAAGTTTTGTCCTAAGCGAATCGTAAATATAGCCAATCACAGCTTCCAATTTTAAACAGATGGATAAAAATAAAGTACCATCTCGTGGAGCTAATTATGGACTGTGCTGCTGGCTGGCTCCAATACGGCCATTGCTGAAAACGCGCAATGGGCAGGGCTCGTACAAAAGGAACCGGAAGAAAGCCGAAGCGATACACTCGTGTTGCAGTGGACTACACACACAAGCTAGAGCTGTTGAAGTATCTGACAGCCGGACACGATGTGGGTGACGCCATCGCTCACTTCTATCCGGGCTGCACTGGCAGCACTAAGACGCGCAAGCAGAAACAGATTGCAAAGTGGACAAAGCAGGAGAACCTTATTCAATTTGTCTGCGACGACGGCAAAGACCACTTAAAGACTCTCCGCTTTAGTGGACAAGCTACTA